GCTCGAGTGACTCTGTGGGAGGTTTGATACCTGCTGATTAGATCAGAAAACAGCACTGAAAACATGACTACTTTAACATTTAAAAACCAATGTAAGATAATTCAATTTAGTAAAACTAGCAAAGCTAAAAAAATTATGTTTACGTAAAACCTCACAATGATGCCATCGCCTAGGATTTAAGTCCATAATTTGAAATGCTTGTTTATATTTTGAATCAGTAGGTTTCAATGTGATTAAAGAAGCTTATGACCATGATGTAATGTAATACAAGTGTTAGAATATCATTGAGTGCATGTAAAATTTTGCTGTTTGATATGTTTATAAATCTACTAATAAACCGAAAACAGTTTAGACGTGTGGTTGTGGTTCTTAATATTGTTTAACAAAATGTTCTAATTTTTATTGATTTGAGGAACAACCCCTCTTCAATTCTTACTATCCCAAAACTCTCTTCTGTGTTTACAGTACATGCAAATATCTTTTTTTTACTCTGCCCTTTATACATCTCTAAATCTGTTTAATCTGTTCCCTCACTAAGGTGTCTAACTGACTGTCTACATGAATATATCTGCACTTACTTTGAGTTTCTCGGCAACAGAAGCAGCATTGTTAAACCAGGATGAAACTCCACGATAATTGGGTGTTAGATCCAGCACTATGGAGATTCCTGAGAGGGAAAGAGGAGAGGAGGGAAAAAGTCAACAAACCAGAAGGCTGTTAAATGCTATTTCTGGAGTTTAACAGCCTAATGTTTGCTTTGTATGAAGCCTTTTTTAAAGGCATATTGCTTTATTTGCTCGAAACTAAGCAGGTGTTCTAGCTAAATAAACGTGGTGAATCAATTCCAAGAAAGACTTTAAAGTTTTATTTTAAATCGCATAATGTATATTTGTAGAATATGTAAGGAAATACTTGATGGTAAATGACTCATGAAAAATCCTTTTAAAATTATTGCAGCGTAGTGAGAAACAAGAGAGGAGGTCAGAGGTTAAACTGACAGCTGATTGTTATTTCAGACAGCCTTCCTCTAGAACAGAACAACAGGAGCCTATGATGATTAGATCTATCCAGTGACCTATTATGTGTCTGGAAAAGTGACCTTGGCTGATATTTCAATTTGAAAACCTTCAAAACAAACTAGTGAGTTCACCTTTTCTATGTGCTCGGTCCAGCAGAGAAGTCAGCTCGCTCTCAGAGCCAAAATCAGGGTTAATGGAAGTTAGTTCAAGTGCACTTGACTGGTCTGCTTGCACAGAATGTACTGGACCCAAAACAAGCCCCTTCACCTTCATCTGACTCAGATAGTCCAACTTCTCCTCCACTCCTACAGATGAAAAAGGGGTTAAGAAAAAAAGAGGAAATGAATGAGCAACCGTCATCAGTTACTGCCTCCTTTAGCTATCTCTATAGCCACAGAATTCAGGGCACCTTTTAATCATTAATCTGCTTTGATGATATAGCTTGTGCACACCTAAAGATATCAGGGTTTAAGGTCACTGTACTTGATCATCTAAATCTATGATATAGCCGTGTGGGAAAGCAAACTTATCACAACTGTGTGATTGGGAACAGAATCTTGCATAGGTCAGCACATGCTTTCTCACATAAGGGAGTCACAAGACAGTCAGTCTCTTCTGGCTTATCTACAGCATCAGCAAATCTGCTTCCCCCCACAGTGTTTTCATAATGTTACCCAAGCAAGGCGTCTAAATTACTGCATATTCGGCAGTTGATACCTGTTAAGGGGTATTGAAAATATAGACATTCATTCATACCTTTCAGTCCATTCTTAGAGAAGGCATCCAAGTTAGATATCTGGTACAGAGGACCTTCATTCCACCAGTGCATCTCAGGAATGGGTTTACAGCGTGGAGCTTGTACTATGATTACTATTGCTCCAGCTAACATGCCAACCCAACCAAGCCAGAATAGAACCAGTAAAGCCCAACGAGTCCGAACCCAACTGCAGATGACAGGCAATAGTTACATCAAACAAACAGCTTATATATAAAGCAATGTATAAGATAGTTAAATAGCGTACCCAGCTGTACCGGCGACTTTCATCAACTCTTCTTTAGAGAGGCCCGTAAATTTGACTTCTGCGTCCTCCGGCACTTTGACCTTTACGCTGCCGTTTTTTTCGGTGCCTGTCGGAGTTTGGCCGGTCATCGGCTGTTTTTCCTGATCCATCTCGTTCAGTTCTACTTCCTTCATCTCGTCTTCTTTGTTCATTGTTTGTTTGATAGTAGTTTCAGCACTGTCAGTTAAATAACTCTTATCATTTCCAGAAGGACACTTTGTTTTATTTGTAAAACGTAGTTTGATAATTAAGCACAAGTAAACAAGTAAAATAATATTGGAAGCGTCTTTAATGTATTCACATGATAAACTTTAGTCTAGCTTCTTTGTTTTTCCTGAAAACTCTTTTATTATTTACTGGTTTAACTGAACTAAATAGTGCCTGTATGAACAATTGAACAAGGCATACCTTCAATAATTCTGTTTCAAGCCGGACCCCCGCTGTAAACGCCGCAGAAGTAGATGTGACGGTCAATCCGCTTTATATAGTGCGACTCTCTCGCGCCCGCCCCTTCACTATCTAAGAGGGAAATGAAGAGGGACTTTGAAACAAATTATATTAACTGATAATCTTTTGCATTAAGGACAAATACCTATTTTAATTAAATGAATATAACATGCACGACAGGTTAACCCGTAATCATTGTATCATACTGTAATTCAAGTTCATGTGGAGTTTCCACCTTAAATGTTCCCTGTTGAGCGCATCAATAAGCCTGAGTTCACTTGAGTGAACAGGAATTCATCCTGCAAACATCCTCATGGAAATCAATACACTTTCCTAGATGGAAAATACGGAAAAAAATACTTATAAATGCGCCTTTTCAGACACGACTTAAAAAGCGCAATAACATTTACTGCACAACCATCATGTCATAAAGCCTCGGTTTGAGTCGTCTGTACTTTGTAACAAAGGAAACTGTGTCAGAGACAACTTATAATCTAAAGTAATCAATCTATATTTCTGCTGTTTCACAATCTTTAAAAAACAAATGGCTAATAATACTGTTGCGCACCCACCAAAAAAGAAAAGAAAAAAGAAAAGATAGGCTATATTTCTGCTGTTTCACAATCTTTTAAAAGCAATAATATTACTGTTAAGCACCCAAAAAAAAAAAGAAATAAAATAAAAAATAAAATAAAAAATGGTTAAAGTGTAGCAAAAGCCACAGGCTTTAAGAGCACATGGTGGTTTCTTTATGCAAATAAATTTCATTTCACATTTCTTTCTCTCTCTTTATTTTTTATACAATTTTTACTGTGTTGGTATGTACACATATGCTTGTTAATTAGTGTACAAATAAGTTTGCATTTTCTGCAAAATGTCAGACTGATAGCACTGTGTAGTCTGTTTGACCAACTTTTTATCATTAAATAAACTGTAATGTATTGCATAGTCAAACCTTTTCTTAATTTTTTATTTTAGTTTGGTGAATAAATGCTAAAAAAAACAAAAACTTGTTCTTTTTCATTGTAGCTCTCCTGCCAACTAATAATGTTCACTTTCCCTCACAGCCTACTAAGGGAACAATGTGTGAGTGTTGTTCCCATGTGACAGAACAGTATGTTGGCCCCTCTGCCTCATAGTGAGGAGAATTTCAAACAGCCCCGGGCACCAGGGTCACAGGGATTACCAATAACTCTCTCTCTACTGGAAAACTGTCTCTATCAAGCTGTTTTTCAAAAATCCTACAGTGCTCTAATGTCTAAAATCACTCTGTCCAAATAGATGCTATCCATTGTTACTTTTATGTTTGAAAAGTTTACAGTTACAACACAATACAATATAAATACAAAGAAAACACGAAATAAAGCAGCTTTAACCTCCACATAATCTTTACATTGCACCAAACATTCTTGGATATTTATCTAAAATGCTTCTTCACATAAATAAAAAATAAAGATGAAGGTCAAAATGTTCTTTTTGGAATCCATAATGATTTTTATGGCATAATGTTTAGTCTACGGCTTCATCACTGCTAAACCACCACTGGAACCTTTCATTTTTAGAATGTAAAAAAAAGTTTCTGACAAAAGTCTCCTGTGTTCATCATGACTGAAGACTAGTAAAAATGGTAATATTGTGGAATATTACTGAAATGTCACATGATCATTCAGAATTAATATTAATAGTTAAAAATAGTTTTTCATAGTTGGAAAAAACTGTTATGGTTAAAATTTAGCAAAAACCATGATACTTCTTTAAAAACATTATATTAAACTTTACCAATTATATCTTTAACATTGTACATTTACACTTTACATATTTTGAAAGTATTAAGTACATTACTGCTAATTTCGATCACTTTACTGTGCCTTTACTATAGGATAAAAATATATATTCTATTGAGCCTTACCTGGCTTTTAATGCAGAACACATTTGAATTGTCAGTCAAAAACATTACCAAATGTTACAATTTTTTTACACATCTCTGAACAATATTAATGCATCAATTTATATTTTTTGTGTCAAACATTCAACAGTTTCAATCTATTGTTATGCAATATAAATACTTTCTTCATAAGCTGAGGAAGTTCAACCTTCAAAATAAGCTGCTGAAAGAGTTCCACACTTCGATCATTGAAGCAGTCTTCTGCACTGTAATAACTGTCTGATTTAGCTCAGCTACCAAATATGACCTCCGAAGTCTACGTCGGATAGTTCAGACTGCTGAGCGAATCACTGGTACAACCCTCCCTACTGCCCAAGAACTTTACTTGTAAGCAGAGTGAGCAGAAGGGCTACCAAAATCACTCTGGACCCCTCACACCCAGCACACTGCCTCTTTAAACTTTTACCTTCTGGTAGACACTAAAGAGCACTGCGCACCAGAGCAGCCTTACACAGAAACAGTTTCTTCCCTCGGGCAATCCATCTCATAAACACCTTATGATAGTAACTGTGAAACAAACATCACAACTTTTTGTACACATAAACACTTATTTATTTAACATACTTTACAATTTGCACATAACAGCTGTACATATAACATTGTATAGAGTGATATACCTGCACATACACTTGTCCATTTGTATATTTGCATTCAATATTTACTTCTATTTTTAAAATATATTTATTATCTGTTTTTGTCCTGCCTCTGTCATTCTGTTGCACTGTAGAAGCTCTGTCACGAAAACAAATGACTCGTATGTGTAATTACTCAAACATACCTGGCAATTAAAGCTCGTTCTGATTCTGAAGCTCTTTCTGATTCAGGCCCTGTAGGACTGAGTTTGGACAAAGAGCACAGAATCATGATTGTGAGTCTAAGCTCTTTGGTTTGGACACCCCTGGTTTAGACTTTCTTAAAAAACAACAGAAGCATATGTGTTGAAATATTTAAAAAAAACAAAGCATAACTCTACAGGTTTAAATAACCTTTACCTTTTATTTATTTTGTCTATGTATCTGATATTCAACAAAACTAGGAACACTGGAATCATTGGCCATTATCATGGACTGGATTTGAACACAGGCTTGAGAACATTTCAGGGTGTGCAGTGCTCTCTAGTGGTGATGTTGTGACAGGAATGGCCTTAAAAGTCCCCAAGAAATCAAAACTCACCATATGATTTTGTTACAGTAGTTCACATTGCTAGTTTTGTGGTGAACAATTCATCTTTCATTAAGAAAATGAAAAATAGTTTGCCCTTATAATCTTTAATTTAAATCTGAAAATGAACTTCCTGTTGGTTTTCAGTTAAATTGTCAGGTTTTGTATATCTTAGGAATTGGTTGTGGCTTACATATTTAACCATGCTGCTGCAACGGTCAGTTTTGACAACAAACAGAAAAGGTGAGCAGGAGGTATCTTGTAATAACTCTCCTCAAACACTTTCCCCATCTTTATGAATAAAATGCCTACTTTACTGCATCCAATCAGCTTGCAGCGGAAAACACAAAGACACCCACTGTTTTCTCATTTAATATTCAGCTTCTCAAGGAACTGCGGCAGAGTATTAAAAGAATAACAACCACAGCTTCCAGTTCATGGGGACTTTAAAGGCAGGATTTAACTAAAAATGAAAATGCACCGTTTACTCCCCCTCAGGTGGTTCCCCACCTCTATGAGTTTCTTTCTTCTGTTAAAAACAAAAGAAGATATTTAGAAGAAAGCTGAAAACCTGTAACCTTTATCTTTCGAAAAATAAATGCTACAAAAAACAATGGTTACAGGTTTCCAGATTTCTTCAAAATATCTTCTTTGTGTTCATCAGAAGAAAGAAACACATTAAGGTTTGAGAAGGATAGCTTAAGATCTTAAAAAGGATAGCAGACAGCAAATAAAAACAGAAAGGGGTAGAGGGAACAACAAAGCAACACCCCCAGGCACATAACAGAAACAAAGGGTGAGTAAACGATGAGAGAATTTTCACATTTGGGCCCTAACATCAACACAGGCCAGTTATAGCTAATAGGCAGACTCCTCAAGCATATATTACAAGGAAATTCACATTCTTCACATTTTAGATCAAAGAGCAAATCAAATCCCAACACATAAAAACCAAAAGGGTTATTGCACTCAGTTCTTTTGCAGGTGAGCCGGTGTGAAAGCTAAAGGCAAGAGATCTCTGAGACTGGTTTTCCTATAGCTTCCATCTGGCTTAGTGAGGTAAACGTCCCATTCAGTGCCAAACTGACAAGATGTAAGGTTGGTGAGAAAAAATATGAAAATAAAAAAAGAATTAACAAAATTAAAAAGGTAGAGGGCAATGACAGTTATATACAAGAGTAATAACTGACATATTTGATCAAATAAGTGTGCAGCCATACCTCCATTAATACCTGTCGGCAAGCTCCGCACGGTCCCACAAAACTATCTTTGATATCACTGTTGGTCAGATGAAAAGATAGAACATTTTTATGAACAAACTTACAATCTCAGCCATTTCTCAGAGAATCAAAGTGAAATGTTTCAGTAAAACAAATATAGAGTTGTGCTCCAGAGGTAAAGTTTTAAACAAAAAAGTATTTTTGACACCATCTGATAATTGCTTTGCAGTTGTTAAATGATTGTATATTGCACATTTATAAATCTTTATTTAAAACCAATTCTTATATTTACGCAGAAAGTTAATAATGCACTGTTCCACCAAAGCTATTTAGCTTTAAACAATGCCATAAAGCACTATGACAAATCCCCAATAAAATCAGACTGAAATACTTGTAACTCTGATAAAACATGCAAACATATGGATATCTTTCAATAACTCTTAAACATACATACATACATACATACATACATACATATATATATATATATATATATATATATATATATATATATATATATATACACACATATATATATTCAATAACTTTGTTTTTTTCCCTCAATTGTGTAATTTAACTGCCCAGTGCCTCGTGGGATTGTAGATTGTACCCTTACTGGAAAATTTACTACTGGAACCAGTCCTGCTGACAACATATGATCATTTCACGAACATTTTGTACATATGATTTACCATGTGACAGCTATGGCTGTAAATCTTCTGTAGCCTTCTGCGACCGCTCTCTGTATCGCAGTTCTCTCCGCACATACGGTAAGACCATAAGAGGCATTCTCAACATTACAGCCTAAAACATACAAGGAATGTCAAAAATCACTCCGACAGGAAACACGCTGTCATTTATGGCTGATTAAATGCTTTGGAATCATGGTGTCTCACACACAATAAAATGAAAACGAACAGGTGCATCCACCCACCAGTGACTATGGCGCCCCCTGTAGTCAAAATGGCGGCACCGACTGGAAACCCACTGTACGGACAGTAAGCCATTTCCCGTGCCTGCAAGCATTTTGCCACCAGCTCCGCGACTTAACCAGAAGTTACATGACAAATGTTATGACAGCAGTTATGCCAAAACAGTAAAAGAAACAAAAAGGACAAAATTAACGTTACGCGACAAAACAAACACTCTTCAAAACACCGCGCTGATACGTTTGGGGGCTTCATTTAACTTTGCTCAACATAAAACTTTGTGATTATGGTTTTGCAAAACGTATGTGGGACTTCAACATAAACAATTCAGCTTTGTTCTTTCAACTCGTAAAACAGACTGCATTGGGGGCAAGATCAAGTTACCTGCACATGCCAAACATATAGGTAACATGCACTAAATGCAGATCCGCGCGGAGTGCCTGTATCTGTACATTGAACTAAATGTTTACCTACCAGCCATGACAACCAACCGTCTCGTTAGCAAGGACTAGATATTGTCCTATAGACAGCCTGTTTTTAAAATATGAAGTAGTTTTGGCGAAGAATTGTTGTTGTTGTTGCCTCCATGCAGGAATAATGGCATTTCTGGGACGGGCGCTGTGACAGGACAAACTGTGACCTCGCGTAAGTGTCGGGGCGGGGCAAATGACCCTAACAACCTATTACAGACCTCCTTGCTGACAAACCTCTCATGAATTGTTCATACAGCGGAAAATATTACAGTATATATTATTTACTGCTCACTATTGAATAATTCAGCACTTTTGTATATATAATTTTAATTTATATTGACAGTTACAGTTGTTCACAGTAAGTTATTAACATTGCAATATATATATATATATATATATATATATATATATAAGGAATATTTAATCTTTATCATACGTTGGTGTCATTGTAAATGAGGTAAGCATTTTGCATTTGTGTTAAATTATATCATTATATCATGTTTTAGGTAGATGAACATAACTTGGTTTCTAACTTTCAAACAATGTTAATGTTTAAAAAACTGAAAATGGTAACGTAAAATTGGTACATTCAGGATAAATTACATATTTTATGTACACTCCATTTTTAAAAACATATTATTTTCTCCATTTCTCTGTGAATATAGCCAATGTATTTTGGAGCATTTAAACAAAACAGATTTATTAAACAGACATATTTATTAAAATAAGATTTTAGTCACCGGACATATTTAGAAATTGAAAGATAAAACAATTAAATACAAGTAAAAAAAAAAATGCAAAAACTATTTCAACTTTTCAAATTTCAAATTTTGTCATTTTTGCTTCTCTTGATTTTTACTCTTTTTAAAATTTTAATTCAATATTTTTCTATTACATACAAATTTGTCTGTACTAGTTTTTGGACCTTTATCCTCAGTCATTTTGTTAGATAAGCTTCAGATTCGGCTTATTTGTGTATATGCACAAAAATAATATTGTATAGCTTCCTATTAAAAGTATTATTTAAAAGACAGATTTGTGAAGGTGTACTCATATATGCTGAGCACTGTAACAAATCCACATAAATACATGTTATTCCAACTTTAAAAAGAGAAAATATCACTTTAACTAGTAACTTTTTACAGTGGTTTGCAGCTTAACATTCAGTTCTATTGGTAAATAAAACAATAGTACAGTTATATAAAATTGTGTACATGAAAAAAACAAATATTACTGACACACACATAAAGCAGAGATTGTTAAACCAAAATGCAAACAGATACAGGGTTCTGTGACAGTGGTCTCCAGTACTAGTCAGGTCATAGTTGGGAGGATAAATGGAGTAAATCCAGTAGGTTCCTGAAAGAACAACACAAGATGATTGTTGACACGTTTCACTAAATATTAGTAAAATGTTCATAAAAGGACATTCATACACAGTTGAAGTCAGTATTATTATTAGCGCTTCTGTGAATTTATTTTCTTTTTTAAATATTTCCCAATTTATGTTCAACAGTGTAAGGAATTTTTCACAGTAATTCCTATAATATTTTTTCTTCTGGAGAAAGTCTTATTTCTTTTATTTTGGCTTGAATAAAAGCAGTGTTTAATTTTGTAAAATCATTTTAAGGTCATTATTGTTTTTTTCCGATTGTCTAACAAACCATTGTTATGCAATAACTTTCCTTATTAACCAAACCTGACTAGTTAACGTAATTAACCTAGTTAAGCCTTTAAATGTCACTTTAAGCTGAATAATAGTATCCTGAACAATATATAGTAAAATAATTATTACTGTCATAATGGCAAAGACCAAATAATCAGTTATTAGAAAAGAGTTATTAAAACTATTATCAACAAAATCTGCTCTCCATTAAACAGAAATTGGGGAAAATAAACAGGGCGGCTAAAAAATCAGAAGGGCTAATAATTCAGACTTCAACTGTATATAATGCAGCCTAACGTATGTTTTTCTCACCAGTAAAAAACCAGCACATAATGAACATGTAGAGCATCAGGCTTACGGCACTGCACAAGCGAGCCAACAGACAATCATCTAGAGAGTTTCTCAGGTACATGAGCAGCAGTGAAAGCAGACCAGTCCCACCGATCACAGTCACATAGAGTGGGAGTTTGGGCTGAACAGGACATTCATGATAATGGATTGCTCCTAAAACATTTATCCAAACAGAAATAAGACAAAACTCAAATATGTCTTCCAGTAGTGTGAAAACAATTGTCCCTTTTAATTGGTTGTGAATCAACATACCCACAATTAGTTAAAAACAAGCCTTCATGGGATTCCAGACTGATATAATAATGAATTACTGAGAAATAAGATGCAAAACGTGCTCTTTACCTAATCCAGTAGCTGATATTAAAATCATCCATGCAATCATGTTAATCATCACTGAAAAAAGAACAAAGCTTTCTTATTGTTTGTAGTTTATTAGTAGTTCTAACATTTACATCATGAGCTTTGCTGGCTTTCTTACCAATGAAAGATTTTCTGGCTGCAGTCTCGGTCATCTCCATCTTCCGCAGCTCCTTAATTAATTACTGATAAATTTCTCTTTTTAATTTGACACGTTTGTGGGGGAAACTAGACGTTTAAATAGGAGCAGAATGACCTCCATAAAGAAGATGTGAATAAGACATCCAAGTTAAACTGCACAGTTGCTCTTAGACAATGTTTTCACAGTTCTGTGGTTTACAGACTTGCCCAGAAGCTCTGAAACACTTCCTTTGGTGAAATGTTGAGTAAGCAAACTCAAACTGAAACAGGACAAACCCCCTTTTAAAAGAATCTTTAATTTATACTGCAAATATACTGCATATTTACATCAATGATTTCCAAGTAAAGGACACATTACAATCAGGTCTTCATTATGATGTGCATTTAAACACAGAACTATACAACTATATTGATTATGTCAAATCAGTTCATGGTAAACATTACTTTTGTTGTACCCCTACACTGGTAGAAGATACAGGATAGAGAATATGAAGGCCATTGGTTTGATTCTTAGTAAAAACATTAGTCCTCTGAATGGACTTGAAATACAATCATGATACAATGCAAAAAGAAATAATCTCACACTTCTAACTGAGAGTTTGAAGGTGGTCTTTGAAAATTAGGTTTTACACACATATGAAGCACTGTACATCCACTACAAAGAAACAAGATAGCTAGTAGGCAGCTATAACAGACTGTATTCAACCAGAAAGCAAAGAGGTAAAGAGTTTTGTTGCAGTAATTCTGTTCAGTTGTTGGGTCATAACTTGGGGGATGAACAGAATATATCCAGAAACTCCCTGCAATACATAGAGAAAACATTTTAGTTGAGCAAAATATTTCCTCACATCTGATTTTTTCGCTTCACTGAAAAAAAATTCAAAGATGATTCTTTGAATCTGCTAAATTTTTTTAAGTTAAATGGATAAAAGCATTTAACTTGGGCTGAATTTAATCAAACAAATTAGGTTGGACATTTCTCTATTAAATTTGTTTGTTTAAATTTAACCCAAATACGTTGTTTGCTACAACTTTGCAGACAATTATTTTCAGTGTTGTAAGTGAACTGTGAATTAACATTCCCACAATCGCCTGTCCCAACATTCATTCATTCATTCATTTTCTTTTCAGCTTAGTCCCCTTAATAATCAGGAGTCGCCACAGCGGAAAGAACCACCAACTTATCCAGTACATGTTTATGCAGCAAATGCCCTTCCAGCTGCAACCCATCTCTGGGAAACCCCGCCATACACACTCATTCACTATGGACATTTAGGCTGTATCCAATTCACCTGTACCGCAAGTCTTTGGACTGTGAGGGAAACCGGAACAGCCAGAGGAAACCCACGCGAACGCAGGGAGAACATACAAACTCCACACAGAAACACCAACTGACCCAGCCAAGGCTCACACCAGCGACCTTCTTGTTGTGAGGCGACAGCACTACCTACTGTGCCACTGCGTTGCCGTCGCAGTTCATTACGCTGTGGCGACCCCAGATTAATAAAGGGACTAAGCCGAAAAGAAAATGAATGAATTAATAAATAAAATTGTATGTAAATTACTTTTCTAATTACTTGTTCTGAAAAGTAGCTTACTCAGAGTATTTGACTCAGTATTAAAAATCCACAAATGATAGAATCTTTTAGTTCTTTGAATCTGAACCTGAGTTCTCGAAAACCTTTATTTGAGAAATTAAGTTATGATATCTGAATATTTTGCAATGACTCTGCTTCTCTGAATTTATGCGTTTGTCATGAAATAATTTCTCAATTATTATATTTTTACTTAGACATAAACAATTGTCTATTAATTATGAACATTCTTCTTTAGGTGAAACATAGAAATGTTCTGCAAAATATATATTACTCTTCTGTAGTATTTAGTATTTAGTTTCTAGTATTTAGGGCAACTGCTGGACACTGTAAAAAATAGGGTTTCAACACAATTCATTCATATTGGCCCAACACAAACTGATAAAACTAATATGTTGTCCCAAAAAACTGTCAAGAATTGTGTTATTTCAGCTCATTTCGAATAAATATTTTGAGCAAAATATTTTGAGCACTGTCGCTTCGCAGTAAGAAGATTGTTGTTTTGAGTCCCGGCTGGGTCAGTCAGCATTTCTTTGTGAAGTTTGCATGTTCTGCCCATGTTCAACGTGGGTTTCCTCTGGGTGCAGTTTTTCCCACTGTCCAAAGACATACACTATAGGAATGAATGAACTGAATAAACTAAATTGGCTGTAGTGTATGTGTGTGAATGTAAGTTTCCAAGTACCGGCTTGCAGCTGGAAGGGCATCCGCTGTGTAAAACATATGCTGAATAAATGAAAGGACTAAGCCAAAGAAAATGAATGAATGAATGATTATACATAAACATATCTAATATGTTACCTAAGTAAATCCCTTATTTGGCATTTTTCAGCAGAAAAGTAATTTAAGCAACTACTTAAGTAACACCGCTTCTCCTGTAATTCTCATTTGACAAATTCTCGGCACTCACCTGTGATGAACCAGCAGACTATAAACAGGTAAAGTATGAAGCTGACGGAGATGACCAGCACAGACAACAGCAGCATCTCATAGGTGTCTTTAGCATGTAGACCATACAGTAAGCCCAGGCTCCCAATCAAAGCCAGCAAAACAAATACGCCTAAGACTATGAGGTAGACGGGGATGTTAGGCTGAACAGGACAGTCTCTTAGAAAGTTGGCTCCTAAAAAAGATATTATAATAAAACAAATATGTTTCCTTACTGTACAATGTGTCAATATATTACAATGAAATATGTTTTTAAATTGCTGTTATTTATTTACAGTGACAGCATTTCTAGACAACAGTGCTGAGGTATATAAATGCATATAAATAATTTACCTATTCCAATGGCAGCAGTCAAAACTCCCAGGACAACAAGAGTTAATATCACTGTAAGATTGTTCAGACAAGCATTTTATTATTATTGTTTTACATCAATATAGAATCAGACATTGATATATGCAGAGATACAAGAGAAACAAGTTTTAAACACGATTCTCACCTAAAAGTGGTGTCAAAAAAGGTGATGGCTTTGATTTGTCCATCTTCAGTAAAGCACAGTTGCTGGATAAATACAAAGACTTCTTTGAGATTAAAAATACGAAACATTAAACTTAACAATAGTGTTATTAATTAATTGTGGCATTAAACAACAGAGTTTATTAAAGTGGAACACAGAGATCTATAATACACGTTCATTAATGGTTTCTTACCTCAGATTTTACTCCTGTATCTTCTATCAGGTTTTAAACAGCATCATTGTTTACTGTGTGTTCTGGCCTTCACCTTAACTTTATAAAGAAAATGGTGAAACGCTGGTATTATCTGTCTGAAGTAAGAATCTCCAGCATTTCCTAAGTGACTCAAAAAAACTCTTGAGTAATCTCTGGTGTAATGCTGCAGTTGAAACATGTTTCAGCCTCTCAGTTGTAGTCAAATTTAAAGCAAAGGACACAATTAATTCCTTATCAATGAGATCAGTGTATGATTGTAATTTGCTGAGGACAGAACCTCAAAATATTTTTTACATTCACCATGTCTTAACTAAAACCAACAACAGAAATAAAACAAGTCTTCAGAAGTTTGATTTCAGTACAATTCTTTTAAAAAGTAACAGGAAATTCCCCAGCCACAACCGCCCACATGTTTGTGTTCAGCCCAAATCTAGGTAGGTTTTGAAAATATATGTTTTAAATTGTTAGTTTCATGTATGGTTTCCTTTTTAAACCCGAAGCCCTATTGGCAATTTTTGGAACCCCTGAAAATATTGTGCTTAAAGAAGAAATATTCAGACTAATTGCTTTCACCACACTATTGGCAAGGCGTTTAATTCTTCTCTATTGAGCGCCCAACACATAGTAGATCAGGGGTGTCAAACTCAATTCCTGGAGGGCCAAAGCCCTGCACAGTTTAGTTTTAACCCTGCTCCAACACACTTACCTGTAGGTTTCAAACAAGCCTGAAGGACTCAATTAGTTTGATCAGGTGTGTTTAATTAGGGTTGGAACTAAACTGTGCAGAGCTGCGGCCCTTTTGGAACTGAGTTTGACACCTGTGTAATAGATGAATCAAAGACGTGATGTATTTTATTCAGCTTGAAAACATCAAATTTACTCTCAGAAGTTCAAAAAGAGATAGGATATTTAATCCTATATCCTATCTTAAAAGGTCCCCCTGCACCCCCCCCCCATCTTTTTTTTCTTTCATCTCACGATAGCCTAAACTTGTAATGCTTTTCACAATGGACTTGCTTGTATTAAGGTATACAGAACCTTTTTGCTATTACACACTGCATGGTTGGCTTTTTATGTGTATCGTAAATCTTTTCGCATTTTCCTTTTAAAATTTTTATTTATTTATTTTAGTTTAGTTTAGTCAGAATTATTTGCACCCCTTTGAATTTTTTCAAAAAAATAAAAAAACAGGGGTGCTAATAATTCAGCGAGGCTAATAATTCAGACTTCAGCTATATATATATATATATATATATATATATATGAGCAATATCACACTCGTAGCAGTGCGATGTGGCTGTATATCGTCAGTGGCGGGTGGCGTGCGTTGGCACGAGGCCGCAGGGGAGTGTCTTAGTGCCCCCATCAGTGCCAATATACAGCCATATTGCACTGCTACGAGTGTGATATTGCGTTTATACAACAGTTTGACGGCATAATTGTGTATATAAAAACAAAATCAAACATGGAGAGTCTCAAAAACCCTTTTGTATGAGGAACTACTTTCTTCCGCGTTGGATTCAAATCATAAGCTGAGTAAAACAGCTGTTAAAACAGTTAAAAGCATCTTTTAAACTTTAGATCTGTAGTTTCTGACTTTTGCTGGCTGTATGTGTGCGGAGTAATACACAAAGGGTAAAGAGGCTGTAGGAGTTCTGATATTGCAGAATATCGCATGGCTTTCAGCCAATCAGATTCGAGAACCAGATAGAACTGTTGTATATATATATATATATATATATATATATATATATATATATATATATATATATATATATATATATATATATATATAATTTTTTTTGTGCAACTGTTTGTTTTTTTGTTTTGTGCTAATTTAAAAAAAGTTATGAATTTATGGAGTAAACATTAAATAGAAAAAACGTTAAACTAAGCATAAATGGTGTCACATCACTAGCTTTAAAGGCACTATGGAATAGTTTGTGTTTACTAGACCTTCGTCTGTCACAAACCTGTTTTGTTGAACACAAGAGAAGATATTTAAAAAATGTTGGAATCCTTCATTTTGTAACTATACATCAGTAGTTATAGGCTTCTAACATGTTTTTAAAAAAAACTCTTTTGTGTTCAACAAAAAAGGAAGCTCATAGAGGGTGTGTACATTTTTACAAACCTTTGTAAACTATTCTTTCAAATGTCTACGTTTAAATGTCTATGAACATCCAACATTGAAAATAAAAGGATTCAAATATTGGTTTGTAAACAATTTTTTGGTTGTAAACAATTTATTTGGGCTGAATTTAATCAAAATTTAATTTGTTTGTTTAAATTCAACCCATATAAATTGTTAAAAACTACTTAGCAGAAATCTTTTTTTTTTTCAGTGAAAGCATTGAATGAATGTTTTCCAACTTTTCAGTTGATATGCATTTATATGAAAATTTGGCTCACATTTCTAAATAAAGGCATGTCTACAGTATGTCTTCCTAAAAGAAATTTGCTAATAATTTACATTTACATTTAGTCATTTAGCAGACACTTTTATCCAAAGCGACTTACAAATGAGGACAAGGAAGCAATTTGCACAACTATAAGAGTAACAATGAATAAGTGCTATAGGCAAGTTTTAGGTGTGTAAAATCTAAGAAGCAAAGCATTGTATAGGTTAATGTAAGTTTTTTTTTTTTTTTTTTTTTTTTGAGTGAGAGTACAGTTAGTGGTATAGCCAGAGAGGCAATTGCAGATTAGGAAGGAAAGTGGAGAGTAAATAGTTGAGTTTTTATTCGTTTCTTGATTTGTGATTAAAATGAGCTCTCTTTGTTCATTCCTCCCTGTTTAGTGCAATAGATGCCGTCATGCCAGTGTCTGAACAGCAGAGGTCAAAGTTACTTATATATTTTACAGTTTCTTCTCTTCATGGCACTCCCTTTGCAAATTCATTCTATAATTGATTCTTTAAAAATTGCAGAATAAGTTTTGGAGGCTTAATGCAATTTACAGTACAGTACATACAGTGTTTATGATCTGTTAATGTCTGCTTATTTAAAAATAGGTTCAAGAGTTCACACTTGAATATTGATTGATACTAATTGCAGGTTTGGCACACTGTCTTAGAGAGAACCCTTAGCTTGAAAATAATTTAGCCCAAGGCTCCCGCCTGGTCATTAAGCATAAAAGGAGGGTCCGATATCAGGCAGGCCTCGAGAGCTCCCCCTGGAAAAGGGGGAGATGGGGTGCACGGGGCATTCTTCTTAAACGAAGACAAGGGAAGTAAGGTGAAATGGGCTATTTATTGTAGGATTGGATTAATCTGATTGGTTTATATTTAATTTAAAGTGTTATTACTTTTCTATAAATCACTAAACAGCCTAGGACCTCAATACATTACAGATATGCTTTCTAAATACAAACCTAATAGATCAAAATTAGTTTATAAAACTTCACTAAGTGAATGTGCAATACACAGATGTTTGCTTTTGGTTGTATTGATTGCATTTTCTAAAACCACAGTTTAATTACAAATAAAGGGTTAAATCTGGTTAGTGTAACAAAACAGTATATGTTTGTAGCTATTATAAGGCAAACCAGTTAATTTTCATTAATGGATGTTTTCTTAGCCACATTTCTGTTATTTACTTTGAATTATTACAATATAAATATCCTCAATTTTGTGATAAAAATTATTATCAAAAGCTTGAAGAATGTTTGGTTTTAAATTTGTTTTAAAAATGGTGAGTCATGAAAATGTCATTTATTCAGTTTCCATTAATCTTTCAACAATCTTAAATAGTAAAACAAAATTGACATTCATTGTAAACAAAAAAATATATAATAACGTCAGTTGTCTTACATTTCAATCCTCAAAATGATACCAAGTACTTCCAAATGACTTTTAACTGTTAAATAATAGTTGTAAACATATTCAAGTTCAGTTTAGTTTACCAACCAACAAGAGCTCTGCAATTTATATCCATTACAATGGCCCACACATTTAATTAAGCTTTGGCTAAGCCACAAATGCAAGTGCATACACAAAAGCAGCAGCCGATTAACAGTGCTAAACCTATCAGAATGTAGCCCAGGGTGGTGGTCCAGAATGCAAACAAGTAGAGGGTCTTATCGCAGTAGGGAACTCCAGCCACAGTTGTGTTGTAATTAGGAGGGTAAATAGAGTAAATCCACACACTGCCTGTTAAAAAAAAAAAAAAAAATTATGTTAAACTTCAGTTGAACTTGTCATGATGAGTTTATCTATTATTGAACAATTTGTATAAATATATTCATGATTTATTTTTATAATAACAACTTTAAAAACATTTATTTACATTTAATTATTTAGCATGTGACTATGGAGGAGGTAACATACAAAAACAATAAATAAATAAATATAAAAATAAATTAATAAATGTATATAAAATCCACAAATTTCGGCATAAATAAATATATAAATACTTATGCGGGCAGTTAAATACTTAAATAAATTACACGAATGTTGAGGGAATAAGAAAATGCTAAACTTAAAGTTGTTTCCCCCCATTTAAACGTTTATTGATTTCTTGAACGTAGTTGTGTATTTATTTATCCTCAGGTCATCATGCTAATGAAAGGGTGTCTATCAATCATATAAAAAAAAAATAGAATGCTAAGTTTTTCTAATGAACAACCAATGACAGCATAAAGACTGCCTTCGGATGATTGACAGACACCCTCTCATTAGCATGTTGAGCTGAGGAAAAGTAAATACACAACTACGTTCAAGAATGAATAGACGTTTGAAAGGGAGGAGGATAAAGTTTTAGCATTTTCTTCTTCCCCCAACAATCGTGTAATTTTTTTAATTATTTACCTGCTTATGCTATTAATTAGTTATCTATTTATTTATGATGAAATCTACAGATTTTTATTTACATTTATTTATTTATTTATTAGCTTATTTATTTATTGTTTTATTTATGCAGGAATTCATGCATTTATTTACTTATTTATTTATATATTTGCACATTTCTTTATTTATTGTTTTTGTTCTCCATATGTGTCACGTCTAGTTTATACTGTAGCTTGTTCATTTTAGCGTCCTGTGTTAGTTTCCTGTTGTCATGATTTCTACTTTTTCTTCGTTGATTTCTACTTTGTCTGCTATTTTTTCTTTGTTTGTTAAAGTTACTCATTGTTTGATTTCTCACGCCTGATTAGTTTTCTTTGCATATTCATTCTTAAAGGGATCGTTCTCCCAAACAAATTAAACATTTCTTACCATTTGCACACCCTCAAGTGGATCCAAACATGAATAAATATGTTTATCTATACTGATGGACACAAAAGATATTTTAAAGAATGCTGAAAATCGTTAGCATTGACATCCATTAGGAAAAACAAATACCATGACATTTACAGTACATGTGATAGGTTTTCAGCATTCTTTAAATATTTGTTTCTTGTTCAACAGATGAAACTCAAATAGGTTTAGAACAAGTGGCAGATGATTTCTATTTTTTGGTTGAAATATCTCTTTAAAATCTGAGATGACATTATAACAACACATGACAAAAGGATTTAAAAGAATTTTAACATATTACAACATTTGAAACACAAGACACAATTCACATGTACAGCATTCACAATAAAATAATTTTTTGTTTAGTTTAGTCCTCTCACACATAAAGATTATGATAAATTGCCATAAAGAGATTAGCAGGCTCTTTAATTTGAAAAGTGAAGGGGCCTGTGCTATTGTTGTTATTGCTTAAACCCTAATTACAAGTTAAATCATGTTATTTCCAGCTTGCTCCTGTTTGTACATCTGCTGTTTGTTTAGCGAGTAACTTTGTAGTGGATTAACCAGACAATGCACAGAAGCTGACAGAGACCTATGAACACATTAAATGACCTATTCCTCCCACCAGTGATTCTTACCAGTGATCACCCAGCAGAACAGGAAGGTAGAAACCAGAGCATTCCACACATTGCAGGCCATGTCGAAAGCTCTGTTGCCTTGCACAAAGATTGACTCGACACCAATCTCCTTTAAGGCTTTTCAATTGTAACTTGAAGATGTGGTAAACTGGAAAAACTGAGACAGAACCCATAGCGAAGGGGAAGACACGAAGGACACAATATGTGATGTCTGTTCAAAATCAACGTTAGCGCACAATATTCTCCAATTGACGGCTGGTCAAAATGAACAAGTGAATCTATACAGATCTCTCCCTCACAGACCAACATGACTATATAAAGATTAATGATTGGTGATTTCAACCTGAAAACAGGACTTCCCTTGCTGTGGCAGTCATACTGATCATTGCACCTTTCCCCATTCATATTAATGCGAGTGAACTGCTTTTGTATATCTATAGTCTTTGAAAAGGGTCTGTTTGTGCGTGATCTCTTTACAACAATTTACCGGTATTTCTTTCTGAAACGTCTGTATGTGTGAAAGAGGCTATTGTCAAGCTAACATACTGAACAAAAGTTCATATTCACACCCAAATTTCAGGCAGCCCACACACAGAAGAATGCTGTTCCTCTACCATTCAATTAAACAAAATTCCAAACAGAACATCTGCTGTTTGTTTGGGTAGTAACTTTGTAGTGGATTAACCAGACAATGCACAGAAGCTGACAGAGACCTATGAACACATTAAATGACCTATTCCTCCCACCAGTGATTCTTACCAGTGATCACCCAGCAAACCAGGAAAGTAGAAACCAGAGCATTCCACACATTGCAGGCCATGCCGAAAGCTTTGTTGCCTCCCTCCTCTGGCTCTTTAGAACAGGGCAGACATGTCAACAATGCCAGAAACACACTGAACACTCCAGTGACCAGCACATACACTGGGATATAACTCTGCTGGGGACATTCTTGGAGATACACTGCGCCTGTGATGATAAATAACATAACGGCAACTTAAATAGATGATAATAACGAAGGAATAACCACAGTACTTACATTTACTGCAACACACCTATGGCAATTTGGGCAATGGGAAGAGCCAGGAATAGGAGTTTTGTGATCACTGAAATACAAACAAGTCAAAAAGTTACTTCAGTCAGTACGTGCCATTTATCCAGAACAAAGATTATGATTGTGTAGTGTGTAAAATTCTCATACCGAGACATGCTATACTAGTTATTGGAGGAGATTTCACGTAATTGAACATTTGCTTTGGATCCATGGTGCCTGTGCAAAGAAAAAAACAGGGAAATGCAGAACTTGTATGCACTTGTTAAATGTCAGAGTCCTGGAATGCAGAGTGCGGAGGAGCTAAAGTATGAAGAGCACCATAAAGAAAAGTATTTTGTTTTAAGTAGCTACTACACTGCAAAAATCAAGATCTAAATCAACAGTTAATAAGTTCCATATTTCATGGTCATTTGCTAAGTTATATAGACAAGTTAAAAAAAGATTTCTCTGTGCAGCTCAACATTTGACCGAATTTAAGTTGTTTAAATTGAAGTTTAAACATGTTGTACTTTCGCTTTTGGCTTGAGCATACAAGATGTGCATTATCAGCTAACAATATGCGTGTGCAGCGGTGATTGCGATGTTTAACTATACACAATCTTTTGATAGGTGTTAGCAGCTTTATGGAATTTAAGTATTAATATGTAAGAAATAAGCGATCTGATTATTCTCTGTCCGTGAAGCAAACGTCAGTGTCCTTGGGATTACACCAATGACTACTGTCACTGAGATGCTATGATTACTACAGTTTGTGGAGCGCATTTATTTTGAACTGTCATCAGATACACTCATGCATGAGTAGTTGATCAATTATACCCATGACATTAGCAGCAACAATATTGAGGTGTTAAATATTCATTCATTCATTCATTTGGCTTTGTCCCTTTATTAATCTGGGGTCGCCACAATGGAATGAACCTCCAACTTATCCAGCATATGTTTATGCAGCGGATGCCCTTCCAGCTGCAACCCATCACTGGAAAACATTTATACACACTCATTCACAAACATACACTAACACTACGGACAATATAGCTCGCTCAATTCACCTATAGCACGTCTTTGAACTGTGGGGGAAACTAGAGCACCCTGAGGAAACCCATGCAAACACGGGGAGAGCAAACAAACTCCACACAGAAATGCCAACTGACCCAGCTGAGGCTTGAACCAATTACCTTCTTGCTGTGATGCGATTGTGCTACCCACCGCGCCTCCGTGACGCCTGTGTGAAATATACTACAGTATTTAACAGTATTAAAAATGAAATTATTAAAATTATTACGTATGAATCTGTAAATAAAAACATAAGTTTTCTGTGTGTTTAAAAGATGTCTAAGAGTGTCACAATCACCAACGATCTAGTCCACACAGATCGCTTAATAACCACAAATTGGCGAACAAATCCTGTCATGCATCACACACTCACACCTGCTCCAGTTCTCAGATGGGAGCTGCTCAAGAACTGAATACACAGACTATATAAACAGCACACACTCACAGACATTGCTTAAATTAACCCTGTACTTCACAAAGCAGTTTCTGGTCTAGTCATTCCGTGTATTATCCTAGCCTTGTTCTATTGTTTACAATGTCTGCTGCCTACATCGACCATCTGGCTTTTTCCCGACTATGCTTCCGGATTACCTGTTTGCACCTGTGATTGACCATTGCCTGCCTGACAACTATTATTAATATAGAACTGCATCTTCATTTCCATTGCCCAGCATCCTCAAGTTACAATGAGACATCTAAACATAGATGGCTTGGCTAAAACAAGGCTTAATTTGGGCTGTCAGTGAAAATCTAATAGATGTTTAAGAATAACCCCAAATAGACTAAACAAATACACAGATTAAACAGACTTCACAGGTGTAGTCATTAATTCATGTGCATTTGGGGACTAGTTCTTGTTGTGATAACAGTCTTGCGCGCACACACACACACACACACACACACACATATATATGTGTGTGTGTGTGTGTGTGTGTGTGTGTGCGTGTGTTTGTTTGTGTGTGTGCGTTTGTGTATAATTATAAACTATCAATAATTCTTAAACTAAAGCACAAAAATGCTTACCTGTAATTCTGGTTCTGGAAAGTCTTTGCTAGACACACTCTGATCAGAAACAGCCTGTAATGATTCTTCAAGGGTTTTGCGCACTCTGTTTTAACAGGCTGTAACGCCTTTTTTTTTTCTTTTTTTTACATTTCTACCATTTCAAGAAAAACCTGTTCTATCTTTGTGCACACAAAATCGTACAGCATAGATTAAGTGGATTCATTGTATGGACCTCATTAATCACTTGGTCCTTAGAGTCAAGTAAAACAAACACTTTGTTTAAGTTTGGCAGAGACACGTCATTTTCCAATAGGGATTGTTTAGTTTGCATTCTTAAAAAGCCTTGGTAGATGTTTTTTTTTAAGTGATTTCAATCTAGACTAAAAAAGCATTCAAACAGTTTTACACTATCTGTTTGACTAAGAAGATAAAGGAATAAGAAGGCATAAAATATTTTTAATTAAAATTTTTCAAAAAATAAACAAAATCTAAAAATGCTTTTACAAATTGCTTGGAAAGCAATGTATAATATAAGACATTAATATTTCTTTATATACAATTACTAAAGTAAGTCATTTCTAGGTTTTTCACACATATTTAGCTCATGTATTCAAGAGTCACACACACCCCTCACACACAAATATTGACGGAAACATTTTAACTTTTAATGCTGTTTTAATCAGTACAAAAAAAAACTTTGGCTGTTTCACAGATTCATTTAAAGATTAAACAAGCTGTAAAGCTGCTTTGAAATATATATTTAAAATATTAAATAAACATGGACTAAAAAAACAAACAAAACTCAAACAAGACACGCATTAAGATGTTAACAGAGCCCTCAAAGTCTCCTTTAGCACCTTGTCAAATTGAAGTTGGTAGAACCAGTAAAAAATTAAGCACAACGTACTGATTGAATATTGATATTTGTAGTACTGATACTTTCAATGGTTTTTATCCACATTCAAAAATAGAAATAACATAATGTTGTGCTTTAGGATATGTCTGTAAACTCATATTTGTCCCAGACTGGAACAAAACTTGATCACTAATAACATCATTCACATTCTTCACATTTTTCTGTCTTGTAGATATGATGTCTTTAGGACAATGAGCCATTACTGTTGTCACAGTTGCTTGACTTGTTGCGTCTATTGAAGAAGAGATGCCATCGGTCATTACCTGTCAGTCACAGGTCTGTGAGGCAGTGACTGGAGGAGATCTCTACAAAAACAGAGCCACGTGATTGGCCACCCTGCAAGTCAATCACTCTGTTTTGTCCTCGTTCGCTTCCTCCCGTCTGAAGACGTGCTCCTCCCAGGAATGTGTCCAGCAGCAATCCTCTTCTCCACAGCTTTGCATAAAAAACATCCACATTACTATATGCCAATGATAAAACATGATCAAAATACAGTGTGGTTTAGCTTCTGACCTCAATGGAGATTTTTGACTTCAGCTTCCTGCTGTAAAAAATCGCTTTAGTGTTGAATTCAGGGCTTTCATCTTTCTTGAACACTCTAGTCCTAACAGAGTCTTCCTCACACCGAATGATTGCATATACATCAGGAGCTGAAATATATTAACAAATCTAATTTGAAAAAGTGCAACTTGCATACTAGCAATAAAATAATAGATTTGCTAACAACATTGTAAATGCAGGATCAATTTTATGCCCAATTAATCTGACAACCTGGGTTAGCACGAACTCATAGGAGGAGGGGGCGGGTGAAAACTGCTGATTTTAGGGTGCGATACTAAGTTCAACCACTGTGTGTCAATCTTACAAATATGCATACTTTGAAACTATCTAGCATGCTTATAAATTTAATAAATGAATAATTTATTATTAATAATTATTAAACATAACACCTTGCCAATTTACTTATTTTTTTGTGTTGATGTTTTATAGCCAGACATTCCCTGATCTCCGCACAATGGTCAAAAAAAATCTGTGTTTTGTAATGACTTGACTGATTGTGCATAGCTTAAACAGCTGGATAGATATCTGCTGTGTTGAATAATGAACATCACTTCATTGTACATTTGTACCATTTAATCACAGTCAGCATGAGGGCAATCATACTTTAACTGATACTATAAAACTGATAACATTCTTACTGTTGTGGTATTACAAGTTCTTGCGACTCAGTGTCAAATATGGCAATAGGTGTTTTGGTTTGTTCAATATGCTGAAAGGGGTAGACCAATCTCAACAGACTGGGCCATCTGACCAGTAAGAGGCAGTCAAAAAAGGAAACTGAATCCTTGAATTAATAGTTTTAGACACTGGGAAAAGAGGTAATGATGCAATATAAAATTATGTAATAATAATATATATAAAATGTTTATTGACCTTGAATAGATATAAACAAATTAGGCAACTCCTTCAAAACAAAATTAGGGACATTTAAAACTGCACAATAGGAATGCTTTCTATTTAAATGGCCTCTTGCTCTCTTTTAATATGGTATATGCAAAAGTATGCGAAAGAACTTTAAATTTTTGTTGTGTTTAAAAATCAATGATCTTCACTGCCTGATAGATATACAATATAAAGCAGTTCTTAAAATTTACAAGAAGCACTGCATTTAATCACATTTTTCTGCACCGTGTCTTTAAAATATGAACATTAATTTTACCCCAGTATATTCAATGGAATTTCTGAGCTAGCATGTTAATCATGATGGGCGCATGCGTGTAAAAAGCTTTTCATCTCTGAACGCTGAAGTCTATTTAACTGATTATATTTCAATTACATTACAACATCGATGCTGTAAAAGGAACCGTATGAAATTGAAAAAAGTCACATTAACCGTTCCTTGGAATTTTATAAGTATGGGAAGAAACACTAGTTGTGCATATACCCTATTGCATTACTTTTAACTAAGACTGCTAGACCTACTAACACATTTTTTTATTTATAGCCTATTAAATCTATTGCCTTAAAAAAAAGTTTAGAAACTGTTGAGGTTTGACCTGTTTTTTTGTGATGGCTAAGACCAGAAGCTTTGAGTAGATGGACAGTAGTTACGGCACTAGGGTCAGGTATACAACACCGCCACATTGAAGGAGCAGGAAGCTCTTCCTTCAATTCCCTGAAGACATTAGACCAAAAAAAAAGAACAGGAGAGATTAGTAAGAAAGACAAAAACACCAGGTCATCCCAATAAGCTACCTTAAGTATGTAAATGGAAACAAAAAAGAAAATAAATAAAATAAACTGACTGATATATTAAAAAAAACATGTAATCGTTTGATATTATGTTTACTTATCAAATGTTTGCTTGTTTGTATGCAAAAGAGCAGAGCTAGCAAAGGGCCAATTCTCTTGTCTCTACCTGAGGCGCACATGTGAGTGTGAGAAAAAACGCAGAAGGAACCGCCCAGTAGCACCAGGCTGGAAAGTGGTAGGGAGGATAACATAACGACCAGGACCAAGAGTCACTCGTAGTGTGACACTGCGTGAATCCATATATACAGAACTAGCAGTCTGTTCACATAAACACTGTACTCGACACACACGGTTCACCTCCACCTGAAGGAAAGCAAAGTAAGAAGAAACATTGTAGCGGGCAGTCTAGAGATTCACAATGACTTACTATGAAAGATACAAAAGTTAGATACAATTGATTATATATACCTCAAATATAAGGTGCATAGTAAACAATTGGCCTTATTTAGTAAAAATTAAATAAGGAAAAGCCAAAATCAAAAATTAAGAGTGAATGGACTAAGGAAAACACTAAGGCAAAACAAGTCCAAGAAAGACAAAAACCTTTTAAAAAAAATGCAAATCACAAAATGTGTGTGTTAATATTTCTCTGGCATCTGCAACTCATCAGCTCTTTATATGTACTTTTTTTTACATAGAGTTCATTAAATTGGCAAGTTGAGCCCTTTTGAGGAAATGACTCTTTAATATGGTGTCCTCTTGGATGAGCCCATTTGGAATTAAGTATTTCAAATGGTAAAAGGGTACTTTTTGCTCCCATGATTGTTTGTGCATGCTTAATTTGGGACTAAATAACACAAAAACAACATTCAATTCAATTCAATTCAGCTTTATTTGTATAGCGCTTTTACAATGTAGATTGTGTCAAAGCAGCTTCACATAAATGGTCATAGTAACTGGAACAGTGTGGTTCAGTAACTGGAACAGTGTGGTTCAGGTTTTAGTGTTTAAGTTCAGTTCAGTTCAGTTCAGTTTAGCTCAGTTCAGTGTGATTTAATCATTACTGAGAGTTCAAACACTGAAGAGCAAATTCATCGATGCGTAGCTCTACCAATCCTGAACCATGCGAGGCATAAAAATTATTTTTGGTTTAATGCACTTTTCATCCCTTTTGAGCGCTAACTTGATAGTGTTATATTTTTTAATGCATTTGTGGATAGGGATGGGCCCATCTCAGTTTACTAACTCACCCTTAACACTTCAAAGCCAATTGGTAGGTTCTCTCCGCTTCCCTCCCTCCGTTTCATCCTCCTGTCTTCCTGTTGAAGACAAATCAAAACCTCTTCTCCACCTCCAAACAGCTCAAAAAGGAACTAAAAAGGATGTAGAGAGAGATAACAAACTCTGTGTAAATATAAGAGAGAGAAATATATACAAAATTGCATAATACATTGTAATGCTATACCTTTACAGTTTTTTTTTCTATAACAGCACAATATTCATTACAGCCTGTATAAGCTCTGTAATAACTGACACTTGAAGCAAATTTTGGAGGATTTCCACTTACCTTTTCATAAATCCGAACTATAATAATACATAGTATTATGGTGTCACTTTTAGTTCAAGCCACTGTCAATTATTCACCTGGGGGTTGTGTAGAAATGTGTCTCTATGATTGATACATCCTCCACATCGAGTTCTTCTGTCAATTTGCATCTCCCATCTCATCTCCATGCCTCCTTCCAGTTTTTTTACACACTCTTTTCTATCCCTAATTTGCTTTGGTTTTATTTCTGCATTATCTATTTTGGTCAGTTTTTCTCCCTGGATTCGTCCCTCTCTCTGTCTTTCATTGAGTCTTTGCTCTTTTTTGTCTCGTCTTTGAGCTGGCCTTTGTTTTGACCATTGAAGCCCAGATGGAGGCCTCTGGTTCTTGATGTTCAGGCAATAAGAAGATGAGGGAAAAGTTGGGATCCCAGAAGTAAAGGTCCAGGCTCCATGGCAGCATACTTCTCTCCAATGGCTTTGTGGCCAGAGGAGGGATTTTTCTGCCAATCTGCAAACCACCATGTCTGTAAAGTAACGACAGAAGTCCTCAAACTCCATCCTAAGAAAAAAAAAAAATACAATCAAAACATTAGATTAAAATGTGTTTTAAACAGAATTGTGAAATTTATATCCACTACAGTTTTTCCCTAAACATATATCCCTATTATAGTGGCATTTACAGTACCAAAACTCTCCAACGTCCCGGACAATAAGGCCCATCTTCTCTTTTTCTTTACGGTTAAATTGCTGCCACTCAGGCGATCTGCAAAGGAAACCCACATGAACACAATAGTGAACTCACTTTGTTAGACTGCAATGTTAGTTCTTATACTCTAGGGTCATGAAATTATTGCGATCTTATGCTCCAGACGGTGCTTAAACTCACAACTCCAACGTTGCAGTACTTATAAGACAGTAGATTGCCTAGCAGTCCTGAGACTCCATCACTGGAGCTGACGCACAGTGTTTATCCAACTAATGCAGAGAATGCTAACCACATTCGTGATCACATTTGACTAAAAGTTTTTACTAACCTTGGATATTTGATTCAGGTGTGTTTAACTGAACATAATTATTGTTCAATTATAAATTCAGATTAATTAAAATGAATGGTCAGCAGGATAGTAACTTTCATTAACAACTCTGGACACCCCTGACTTTATCTTTCATTTACTCATTTTTCCACTTGTTTTCTTAATCTTTAAAACAAGCTCCCAGGGTTAAAACTCACAACCTCAGCCTTGCTAAGCATTGTACTGTCTTATAAGTACCGTACGCTGAGCGATTGTGCCACTGGAGCTGATGTACAATTTTTATCCAAATAATGCAGTGATTCATAACTACTAGTGGCGGATTTAGGCATTGGCAATCGCCCAGGGCAGCAATGAGCTAGAGGCGACATAGACACCCCTTCTAGCAACAACTCGGGACACCCAGGACATTCTCTTTTTTCTACTTGTTTACTTAATTGGTGATGCTCAAACTCACAAACACAACATTGATAAGCATTGTACTTTCTTATATCCATCACATGCTGACCAATTGTGCCACTGGGCTATGGTAATTGCTAAACTTCATATTTTCGTGTCTCATTATTCAAACAAAAATGTGTAAATACAGAGCACTGACCAATTACACCACTGGAACTGATGAACAAAGTAAAGTCAAATAACGCAGTGATTCCTAACCAAATTCTTGATTCAAGTAAAATTTGCCAACAAGCTTTGAAAAAGGTTTATGTTTTAGTTCAGTTGTATTAAATTAGCATATGTTTTACAATTTGCAGGTGGGTTTCCCTCCACAAACAACTCTGGACAATACTGACTAATCAATTACCCTACTTGTCTTCTTAATAATAAAACAATGATCTAGGTGAGCTGATACATATAGTTTATTCAAATAAAAACATTCTTGATTCAGATAACATTGGCTTAAAAACTTTTCATGTTTTAGTTCAGGTGTAAAACATTAGCATAAATGGTGAAATCTGCAGGTCGGTGGCCCTCTACAACCAACTCTGAACAATCCTGACTTTGTCTTTCACCCCATTTGTCTTCTTTATCTTAAAACTACGCTTCAGGTGAGACTCAAATAAACAACCTAGGCATTGCTATGCATTGTATTGTCATATACTGTAAGTTCCACGCGATGACCAATTGTGCCACTGGAACTGAGGTATAAATTGTCTACAAATAATGCAGTGAATCCTAACCACGTTCTTGATTCAGATAAAATTAGCTCAAAGTCTTTGTGAGACGTTGTTGTTTTAGTTCAGGTGTATTAAATTAATCCAATTCACCTTTTTGTATAGCACTTTAACAATGTAGATTGAGTCAAAGCAGCTTCACATAAATGGTCATAGTAATTGGAACAGAGTAGTTCAGTTTTTAGTGTTTAAATTCAGTTCAGTTTAGCTTAGTTCAGTGTGGTTTAAGGTACAATCAGCAGGTTGGTTGCCTTCCACAATCTACTCTGGGGTGCGTTTCCCAAAACCATCGTTAGCCAACTAAAGTCGCAAGTTCCATCGTTACAAATGTAGTTTGTTGATTTGCCATTTCCCAAATCCATTAATCCAACAAACAATCGCAAACTGTGTCGCAAACTTGTCCACTCGCAACTACAGCTCTGGAGCTGTAGTTAGAAACATAGTTCCTGGCTGTGTTCTATTCCCACTTATCCCCCTATGCCTCATTCTTTTAATCAAATCACTTTTATTGTTACATTATCAGCAGCATGTCTAAAGAAGTTGTTGCTCCACCCAGTTTAGATCATCACTATGGCCGTTTTACATTATAACTAACATGGTTCAAGGAATGGATCTGCGACAGAGAAACTACGGGTTTTAAGAAACACTACAAAGTTCTTTTCCCAAACGATGCATCATACTATGACAGTTCAGCCACGAGTTACGTCATTGTTTAGGAAAAGCACCACTGGTCAACACTGACTTTCACCCCACTTGTCTTCTTTATCTCAAAATCATGCTTCAGATGAGGCTCAAACTCATAACCTCAGCATTGCTAAGCTTTGTACTGTCTTGTTAGTACCATGTGCTGACCAATTGCACCACTGGAGCTGTTGTTTCAGTGCTTTCAAATAATGCAGTGATTCCTAAAATATTCCTGATTTAGATCATACTTTATTAAAAGCTTTCACAGACCTTGATGTTTTAGTTCAGGTTAAGAGGTTAGCATAGATGGTACCATCTGCAGGTTGGTTGCCCTCCACATACAACTCTAGTCAATCGTGATTTTCTTCAAGCAATGCAGTGATTCCTAAAAGCCGTATTGATGATACAATCTACAGCTTGGTAAGCATAGAAAGATTAGTATCGAAGATAAAATCAGCAGGTTGGTTGTCCTTCATAATCTACTCTGGACAGCACTAGCTTTCACCCCACTTTTCTTCTTTATTTAAAAACTATGCTCCAGGTGAGGCTCGAACTCACAACCTCGGCATTGCTAAGCATTGTACTGTTATATATGCACAGATAACTGACATAATAGCTTTCAGAGACATTGTTATTTTAGATCTAGTGTAAAAGACTAGCATAAAAGATGCAATCAGCAGGTTGGTTGCCCTCCAAAATCTACTCCGGACAGTACTAGCTTTTACCCCACTTGTCTTCTTTATCTAAATACCATGCTCCAGGGGAGGTTTGAACTCACAACCTCTGCATTGCTAAGCTTTGTGCTGTCTTATAAGCAGGGCCAGACGGAATCTGCGGGCGTTTTTTGCTATTTCTGCAGAGAATTTTGGAAAAAATCTGCAGATTTCTGCGTAATTATTTTGGGAGTATCCAGCGGATTATCATAACTAAAACCTTAATATATGAAATAAAAAGTGCTGATAAATTTAGATTTACACATTTACTAAAGTAAATAAACAGAAATAATGATGCGCTAAAAATCTGCAGAAATCTGCGCGCGCAGATTCCGTGTGGGCCTACTTGTAAGTACCGCACACTGACCGATTGCGCCACTGGAGTTGTTGCCTTTGACCATTCAAACAATGCAGTGATTCCTAAAACATTCCTGATTCAGATCATAGAGGATTAAAAGCTTTCACAGACCTTTATGTTTTAGTTCAGATGTAACAGATTTGCATAGATGGTACCATCTGCAGGTTGGTTGCCCTCCACTTCCCACTCCCATCAATGGTAATTTTCAACCCCCTTGTCTTCTTTATCCTAAAACACTGCTCCAGGTGACATTCGAACTCACAACCTCAGCATTGCTAAGCATTGTACTGTCTTATAAGTACCGCGCGCTGACCGATTGCGCCACTGGAGCTGTTTCCTTAGGTCTTTCAAACAATGCAGTGATTCCTTAAACATTCGTGATTCAGATCATACTGGAACAAAAGCTTTCACAGACATTTATGTTTTAGTTCAGGTGTAAAAGATTTGCATAGATGGTACCATCTGCAGGTTGGTTGCCCTCCACATGCAACTCTAGTCAATCGTGATTTTTTACCCACTTGTCTTCTTTATCTCAAAATCTTTCTCCAGATGAGATTCGAACTCACAACTTCGGCATTTCTAAGCATTGAACTGTCTTATAAGTACCACGCGCTGACCGATTGCGCCACTGGAGCTGTTTCCTTAACAACTTCAAACAATGCAGTGATTCCTAAAACATTCCAGATTCAGATCATACTTGATTAAAAGCTCTCACAGACTTTGATGTTTTAGTTCAGGTGTAAAAGATTTGCATAGATGGTACCATCTGCAAGTTGGTTGTCCTCCACATACAACTCTAGTCAATCGTGATTTTCTCCCCAATGGTCTTCTTTTTCTCAAAATCTTGCTCCAGGTGAGGCTCGAACTCACAACCTCGGCATAGCTAAGCATTGTACTGTCTTATAAGTACCGCGCGCTGACCGATTGCGCCACTGGAGCTGCTGCAGTTAATGTTTTCAAACAATTGAGTGATTCCTAAAAACAGGTTTGATGATACAATTTACAGCTTAGTTAGCATAGAAAGATTAGTATCGAAAATACAATCAGCAGGTTGGCTGCCCTCCACAATCTACTCTGGACAGCACTAGCTTTCACCCCATTTGTCTTATTTATCTAAAGACCATGCCCCAGGTGAGGCTTCAACTCACAAGCTCAGCTTTACTAAGCATCGTCCTGTCTTATTAATACCGTGCACTGACCGATTGCGCCACTGGAGCTGTTTCCTTAAGGCTTTCAAACAATGCAGTGATTCCTAAAACATTCCTGATTCAGATCATACTGGAACAAAAGCTTTCACAGACCTAGATGTTTTAGTTCAGGTGTAAAAGATTTGCATAGATGGTACCATCTGCAGGTTGGCTGCCCTCCACATACAACTCTAGTCAATTGTGATTTCCTACCCACTTGTCTTCTGTATCTCAAAATCTTGCTCCAGATGAGGTTCGAACTCACAACCTCGGCATTGCTAAGCATTGTACTGTCTTATAAGTACCGCGCGCTGACCGATTGCGCCACTGGAGCTGTTTTCTTATAGCTTTAAAACAATGAAGTGATTCCTAAAACATTCCTGATTCAGATAAAACTGGAACAAAAGCTTTCACAGACCTTGACGTTTTAGTTCAGGTGTAAAAGATTTGCATAGATCTTACCATCTGCAGGTTGGTTGCCCTCCACATACAACTCTAGTCAATCGTGATTTTCTCCCCAATTGTCTTCTTTATCTCAAAAGCTTGCTCCAGAAGTGGCTCGAACTCACAACCTCAGCATTGCACTGTCTTATAACTACAGCATGCTGACTGATT